TAATATGAAATCTCGCCTGGCATTTAAAAGCTGCCCACTTTAGGCACGCTTGTCTCACCTTGAGCTCAGAGAACTCGTAGTCGATATACTCTCTCATCAGAGACAAGTGAAGCAAGTGAAAAGTGGTCTCCTCTGGAGCTGTTATCCTGAAATGGAACAAAAGAGCAGGGTTCACAAAACAATGCAGCAAAACAAAGAAAGACAAAATAGACTGAAGAGAAGAAGAGAAGAACCTCTTCTGGGATTTCTTCCCTCCAAAGCGGACTTCCTCCCTGAGCAGAGCGAAGTTTGGCTCGTGGCTGGTCAAACCCAACATAATCTACAACACAGAGTGAAGGACAGACTGAACCTTCAGGCACTGATTTGAGCAAAATGTTCATCAACGATCTGTTTAAACGTACCAGGTCAGCATCCAGGCCGTACAGGCAGTGTCGCGTGTTGGGGTCATGATTGGGCTTGGTGTTCTCTGACCGAATAAACTCCATGATTTTGTGTTCCCCCTCCCCTGGTGTCTGTAAAGAGAAGAAACACAAACTTAATACATTCATTACCGACTCAGAAACAGTACAACAGTACATACAACAGTTACACATACACCACTCACACCCACCTCGTGACCGGACAAGTACACTTTGACATTCTCCCATAGCTTGTCATTGGAGAGCTTGTTGTGGACGAAATACTTGAGCTGTTCCTGAAGTCGCACCATGAACTCAGTGCCTGGAAGAAGGATTTGAGATTAAAAGAACTGCTAACATTTTCAGAGACCTGTTCTCTGTATATCTCTTAAGGATCCAAGAAGAACTGAGCAACCCAAGTGTTTTCAGCTGCTCAGTTCTGCTTTCCCAAGGGGTCGCTACACCAGACAGATCTGCATATTTAATTTGACAGAGTTTGAAACAGGACCCTTACAGTTAATCCAGGCTCAAGACTAACAGAAGAGGTACATAGGCTGGGTTTTGTCCTGCTTGGGTTGAAATGGGAAATCTGTCTTATATAACGCCTGATTTAAACTTCTGCAGGGAATCTTCATAGAGCCTACAAAGTAGGCTACGTAAGTTGCCAGTGTAGTTGTCGGTATGCCGTTCCACACATTTATACCCGTCCTGGTTCGTCATGTGTTAAACACAGTGTGGTAGTATCCTGGTGTTTTAAACGCAGTGTCAATCGATAGAAACAAATAAGATTCTGGATTCTGTTTTCCCCCTCCTGGGTCTCCACTCTTTGCTTCTGGCACTTTTCTCTTTTTATCCTGGGATAAATATATTTGTCCCACAAGGTTTTCCACTTCTTTGTACATTCCCTCACATCCACTCCTTGGGAAAATATTACATCTCTGCGATGACCTATTCGCTAATGATTCTAGGTAAATACCAACGATGCGCTTTGGCTAAAATGTCAATGTTGAAAAACGAGTCACTGGATGTTTACATCTGACATGCAAACATGTTTTTAATAAAATCACATACAGTACACATATAAAAAACACAGGGACACAAAAATAAATTCAGGTGTTAAACTGTATCAGGTGGTTCTGATCTGTGTCTGTGTGATGAGCATCTTTGCATGAAGCTTTAGATCTTCCTTACCAGGAGTGATACAGTTGGAGTCGAAGCGAGCCTCTGTGGGAAGCACCTCTCCTTTATCCAAAGCTTTTTTTATCTTTTCCTCTGCTTCTTTGGCGGACCTAGACACACAGACACCCACACACAAGCGCACACCCACAAGTAGATATAAAAGAGAGAAGGTCAAATTCAAAGTCTCAGGCTGTGTCTCTGCCTGCAGTCTGTGTTTCCCCTCCTGTCTGTAACACTGAAGCACAAAATGTTGTATTTTAGCTCAAGCCTGTTTGCTGCTCATTCTTCCTTATAAGGTAACTCACATAGGGCTCAGGTTTACAACTGCAGCCTCAGAAACATCACATAATTATACCCAACATCTCTAAATATATCTGAAAACAGACATGACACTATAATCAGATAACTAAGAGAGAACGTGGCATTATTTATAGTTTGGATTCAACATCAGGGTACAGGCATGCTAATAAAATTCCATCTCTTTATTTGGTCAGTTCAAGAAAATCTACTCCCAATATCCTAAATTTAGTGATTCTCAACAAGTATTATGATAGGATTAGCATTTATTCATTTAGATTTATTCATCCATCACAACCTGAATCTACGTCCTCTCTGCTGGTTCATCTTCGCCCTTGGCGCCACACCATCCACCGCCATGAAGAAAACCTTGCGAGGCTTGATGATCCTGAAGAGCACCTCCAGGTAATGGAAGATGTCTGCAAAAATCTTTTCCTCAGAAATGCGAAAGTGGACATCCTCATCGTTTGGGTGAGAACACTGGTGGATGATGCCGTTCATGTCCAGATAGAAGTTGTCAAACTCTGGAATCTGACAAAGACAAACTGATCACATACCTAGTACATTCAGGAACATGACTTATCGCTCACAATGACGAGATCTTTCAGGTGTGGCAGATGTTTTTAGGAGGCTGATGAGTTAAAGGAGGGTATATTTGACAGTCATAAAAACAAGATAGTAAGCTCCTTTCACCTGACACATAAAAAACAGTCTCGTGAGTATGCCATCCACCTTTGATAACATCAGACCTTTATGTTTTGTTCTGTTTTATTTACACCGGTACCGACATGAAACATAATTCCCATATTTACTGTTACCAATTTTCTGCTAAAGGTGGTTATTTACTGCTTTAATACAAATGCAAAGCTGTCTGAGGTAAGGAGGGTGACACTGAACAATGTGCGCTGATGAAACTACTGCTGGGGGAGTGAAATAGCGGCTTCCTTTCTGCTCAGAGTGTAGAAAGTGGTTCAAGTCCCCCCGCAGTTACTCAAGTAGCCTAAACTCTCACGTTATTCGAGCTGTGGCCAACAGGCTGAGCTCATACTTCTGACATTTCAAACAAGTTCATTGTAAAGCGCAGTTACTGTTAACCAGCTGGTAACAATAACTACCCGAGCCCCTATAGATCTCTAGTTATCATAAAAATCAGTTAGTTAGCCAACTGCAAGAGCTTATTGTTGTTTAGAATGTTCCTGACCAACAAAGGCCAAAATTACCCAGTGGTAACTCATTAACATTTTATTTGTTTAGTGCGAATAAGCGCACAATGGAGACCAAAATAGCATATTAGTGATGGAATTTGGTTAATAACGTCATGCCTATCCTGTGTTTAACAAAAGGATGAAGTGAAGAATGTGTGCTAAAAGCAGAGTTGTCCATTCGCCAGAAAACCATTGGTAAGCTACGTGGAATTTTAGTTCCGCGGCCCGCTATAGCTCTCTGATAGCGAACAGCTAGCTACGCTAGCACTGTGGCTACCAATGACAGCGGTCTGTGAAGCTAACCAGTCACCGCTGTTTTCCTACCTGATGTTCCTTGACAACTTCACTGAGACAAGGGTAGCGTTCCGAAATCCAGCGGTAAAATTTTGGCACTCCCATCTTCACAACAAACCTCTTCAGCCTCTAGGTAAAAACAGTAAACAGCAAAAACTGGATGGAGGTGTTCGCCTATGCGAGGAACTACAATGTAGCTGGGGTTTAACCTGGTTACATGAGAACTTGCTTTAGACTCAGGTTTTGTTTCCAACGGCTGCTAAGTAGCTGGTTGTCCGTTGTCCGCCGGAAAAATCGTTCCGCCGCTTTTCGAGAAAACATTTGTTCCGTTTTTTGTAATTTTTTTGTGTTTGTTTACTTGCTTTCTTTTTGACATCTCATAAGTACATAGTACAACGTAATGCATATTTCTACGTAGAAAATATTTAAAATAAATAAGCCAAAACATTTTTACAAAATGTTGTATTAAACGTAAATTTGTTGTTTGCTAGAAAATAACTTTGCAATAAATGTTATATAATATTTATTACAAAAGTGAGTAAATGGTTGTTTTTTGTTTTTGTTTTTTATAGAGGCTGAGTTACCCCAAAACATCAAGTTTTTGAAAACAGCCTACTTAACATCTGAATCCAGAAATATCAGGAATCTTATACAATTTCCAAGATAACTAAGGGTGCCTATATTAAATATGAACTCCCAAGGCTGGGAAGTAGGAACAGTGTGTGCTGTGTCATTCTGAATCTAATAGGAACTGAAAAATCAGATCAACTGATATGAAAGAAAGAACACACTGTTACAGGGCCCGTCTGGCTTGCAAGGCCCACTGCAAAGCCTGAAATGAAGAACTAGTTTCCCCTCAGCAAGACAGTTCCACATTTCCACCTAATGTACAACTTTGCCTTTTCTATGATGCTGAATATAACTTTCATAAGGTTTGCAGAGGTAGATTAGACCTACTTGAAATTTGTTTACTCAAAACCTCAAATCTGAATGCATGCTGCCCAAACTGAGCAGTCAGTTTTTGAGTTTTAACAGAAAAACGCAGGCCAGCACAGTATACACTATACGAAACCATGAAATCTGAACAGACAGTCCCACCTGATGGCTGTAGCTCAGGAGGTAGAGAGGGTCAACTATTAATTGGAAGGCTGGTGGTTCAATCTCTGGCTGCATCCTTGGGCAAAATACTAACCCCAAGGTGCATGTAAATTTGACATAGAATGAAGCATGTTGTACAAAACACTTTGAGTGATCAGATAGAATAGAAAAAGTGCTATATAAGAACCAGTCTATTTACCAGAGCGTCTTTCTTTTGTCGCCCTAATTTATTAAAAAAAAAAAGATGCAAAGCCCCATGCTGTAAATGCTTATTTTATAGGACACCAAGGAGAGCGCAATTTTTCAAGGGAATTTAAACAAGAGTTTAAGGGTGCCATTGCATCGATGGCATCTGGAGGAGGACTACAGTGTCCCGAGTCCCAGCACTGACTGAAAAAGCACCTTGTCCATAACCAAGAACGTTTCTTGCAATTCCGATCAACTAACCCATCACAGTTTTATACACAGATCACCTAAAAGAATACAATTATGTCATCATATGGAGAGAGAGAAAAAAAGAACCAACATGCCAAGTGTTTCGAAATAATTTATTCAGTAATACAAATACAAAACACCTCTCTCACTTATCATAAAATAGGCAGGTCTTGCTCCACAGAAACTGACAGCAGTTTGCCTGAAGTTACAATGCAGCTCAGCTCAGATGATACCTACAGTATGTGAAGAACGATTCCATTGCTACTTTAAAAGAACAGATTCTGCAAGGTTTTATTTCCAACAAGCAACCAATAGTTCACCCAAAAAAAAAAAAAAAAAAGTCCAGTTCTGCACGACACTGCAGACCAGTGCCGGAAGTTACATGAGAGTTGTGATTGCAGACAAAAGCTTTGAGTTTCGTTTTGTTCTGACGGTAAACAGAAATATCAGCACAGAGAGGCGCTTCTCATTTCAGTTCACTCAACTTCTCACGTTCTGCACTCGCAAACCAGAAAAGAAACCAGTGATACGTCTGACAGGATGGAAGTCAGGTTTATTAAAAATGTTTTTCCCCCCCAAATCTGAGAGAACGCAAAAGCTACACAAAAAAGAAAGGTGCAGGGGGCTGGACACTGACAAACAAAAGGAGATTTAAAAGCTTCATTTGAAGATTTTTGCATGTCACTTCGTCTTGTGCTTTGGCCTTTAAAAGGAGGAAATGCATCGCACTTTTAGCGTTTGGCTGGATGTATTCCGGAGAACAGCAGCTTAATTAAAAAGTAAAGGTTTTGATTTGACCTAAAACCATAAAGAGGTGTTCTATTGTAGCCAATAAAACCTCGCTCAAAAGAAACAAAACTGCTTTCTAAAGTCTCTTATTTCACTTTGTGCCCAATAAAACAGCAGCACATCTTCTCCTGCTGGTCCATAGTCTTTGCCGCTGTCCAAAAACATAAGCTCATAAAAAAAAAAAGTAAAGAAAAAGAGGAAAAAAATAATAAGAGACAATTTCAGATCTCCAGTTGCTACTCAGCCTGGCAGCCTCCCTGCATCACGAGTCAAAGCTCCAACACCTGCTGAAGGAACTGCACGTCTTCAGACGAGCTCGAGTACCTGTGCAGAGAGAACGCACACCTGTGACCTCTTGTTGTTACGGGAAAAAGCAATGAATTAAAGCTCCTCTCCAACAGCTAAATAATAATAAAACGACAAAAGGCAGAAACCACAAAAATAATTAACATATAGCAGTTGGACTGTATAACGAGGCATTTTTAAAGTTCACCCAGACTAGCGTGGCACATCACTAATGCAGAGCTGAAATCACTGCTACCACACTGCACAGTTCATGAAAATATTACAAAAATAATTTCTTTAGATATATTTTGTGTGTGTACTTTGATTCCAAACAGAAGCCAGTGAGGTGACATTTGGACTTCAAGAGTGGAAGATTAAACACGATTACACAGCAGACAAGCAGGCTTGAATTGGATCAGATGCACAAGGATTTATCTTTATTTGTGAGCGTGTTTAAACAGTTATTCCTAATTCATCCTGGGATATTGCCAGGAATGTGTCTTATGGAGAATCTTAAAGAAATTTGACATTTCTGGTTCAAATTGTCAGTGAGCGTCTACAGCCATCTGCAGAGCACAAAATGAATGCAACAATGAACACAGCAAAATACGACAATATAAACACCAGATCTATATATCCAATCGGATTTTTTGTTTTATTCATGTCTTATTAGTGTTTGGCTTCACACTTTTGTATCCTGATCGCGCTCTTACAAAAGTTTTTTTCTTCAGACGGCCTCATTAAAATACCAGAAATGAGTCAACTAAAAGGACAGAACATGATTACAATGTAAATGTCATGTTTTCAAACAAAGGTCCAGTACCCTCTATGACACCAGTCTGAGTGCTGCAGTAGGCCTGTGCTTGTTGCCGTGTTTTGTACAGATGATACAAACCTTAATTGTTCCTTGACTGTTGGCAGCAATTAATACATTTGACTCCTGAAAAACAAAAGGTAACACTTAGAGCACAGATAGTTAATTACCTGTAGATTAATACTCAACACAATATTCTGTGTGATCTGAAAACAACAATCCTTTGCAAGAAAGTGTGAGAAACTCCAGATGTATTCTTTCTCAGAGTGTCAGGATTTTAAGGTGTGACTGACACCGTCTCAGTTCTATGACCGCAAACTATGGGTGTGGTGTCCCAACAAAGCAGGCTCTTTGGGTTAGCTGGCTCAACAAAACCTACAACTACACTCACAGATGAAGGCGGGGCAGGGGTAGGCAACTCCAGGCCTTGAGGGCCGGTGTCCTGCAGGTTTTAGATGTGTCCTTGATCCAACACAGCTGGTTTAAATGGCTAAATGACCTCCTCAACATGCCTTGAAGTTCTCCAGAGGCCTGGTAATAAACTAATCATTTGATTCAGTTGTGTTGACCCAGGGTGAGATCTAAAACCTGCAGGACACCAGCCTTCAAAGGCCTGGAGTTGCCCACCCCTGGCCTAAGGGTACAACCCCCAACTAGGTTTTGCAACCTTTGGTTTTAGAACTGAAGAAGGCTCTTGGACGAGAGGTGAAATGTCTTCAAAACCTTAAAAAAAGACCAGTCGCCTTCTCATTTCAAGCTCCTAGGACATTTGTTACCATGGTGATCTAACTAAGGAAAAAGAAAGCCACCTTTTTACCTGACTTGACAGACCTCACTAACCCATTAATATCGCTTTGTAGTGCACCCTTCAAAGTGCAGTCAATGACAATGTTACTGAGTATAGAGGTGAGCTCACTCCATCAGGCAGGGCCCTCCAGCAGACAGCACTGACAAACTCGTTGGTGTCGTCCTCCTTCTTATCCTTGTCCAGAACGCTCTTCACTGTGTCAAACTTGAATGTTAACAGTGTCTTGGAAAGTCCTTTGTAGTACAGATACAGGGAGTTGTTCTCACTGCCTGTACACACACACACACACACACAAACACAAGTATTTATGGAATGTAAGCATGTTATCGTTTCTCCCACTGAGGGAGTGATACAACACAGACAATTTGACAGTAATGTCTTCTTTGAAGTAACTGCTCACCACAGGCAACGTAGTCTCCGTTTGAGGCCAGGCCCACAAAGTTCTTCTCGTTGATGTGACCCTTGAAGGAGCGCAGGCAGTGAGGTTTGTTGACATTCCACAGCTTCAGCTGACTGTCCGTCGAACTGAGGACAATAGCGCAGAAAGAAATGATCAATATGGAACCGGTGGGCCTTAGATGATATGGCGTGATAACCCACTGGGGCCAAGTCCAGCATTTTCATTTTATCAGGATTCAAGGATCAGGATTTCTACTCTGTGTGTAGAAAGATTCTCCATTGTTCGGCAGCGGTGCTCGTTTCAGTAATTATGCAAATGTCATTTTTATAACTTGTTTCTTAAATCCAGCTTCACAGACAGAGTTACATCCATGTCAGTTTTTGAGGGCTCCACGATGTAAATTAGCCTTTATACATTTAGTGTTTCATGCTCTCTTTAACCCAGTTTACATTAGACAGCTTCTTTATGATATTATAAGCAGAAAGTACACCGTAACAGGTTTTACAGAATATTTTCCTTTGCAGGAAAAAGAAACCTTTCAGATATTAAATGGAAATGCAAAGCCGACAGATGTACTTACGCAGAAACAATTTCCTCTCCGTTGACGAACTTGGCATAGGAGACGGCCTTCCTGTGGCCTTTGAACACCATGATTGGCTGCTTAGTGTTGCGGAGATCATAGTAGTGAACACAGTGGTCTAAGAGAAGAAAGCAAAGTTTAGCATGTGTTCAGATGGGAAACATGAGGAAAATCGTAGATTAAAACAAGTTTTAGATCAGCTCCATTTAGGAGCCACCACAGCATTTAGAAAAGTGCAGTTAAATTTGGACTTAGTGCAGTTTAAATTCAAATGCAGAATGGCTTTCCATGTCTGCTTGCTTACTTTGATAACCCAGTGCTACTCAAGACACTAAACCATCTACAAGGCCGAGGAGCAGTTTCCTTCTCTAAGCTGAGACGGCTTCGTCGTTGAGACACAGGAAGTTGGATAAAGCCACAGCAAGATACTTCTGGATAACGCTTGTACGCTCTGCTCATCCAGTGTTACAGTGTTTCTGTGTATAACCAAATATTTCTTACAACTTTATATCTCCTTTGGGGGACTAATGAATAAGGTATTCAGCAGTTTTTCTGGACCACAAGAGTCAGTGCCGGGTGAAGAAATGTAGCTGACAACAAAGAAACCACAGTGATGTGAGAGAAAAATCAACAACAACAATACTCCAGGTTTGTCTGGCTGAAGGGAGACAGCTGGGTAGAGTAAAATCTGTTTCCCCCTTATTTAGTCTGAACTTAACTTCTCATAGTAAATACCAACCAAATGCAGGCGGACGTCAGACACTGCACCTTCACATTTAAACCTGCTGCTACACCAGCTTCAATGACACTTGAAGTGTCCTTAGATGCAAGGTTTACACAGTTACAAGGTTTTGGTACAACCTATGCGGTGTAATCAAAAGCTTCTGAGCTGCTTTCGCCCAATGAAAGTCCAGTTCTATGTTTGCACTTGATTTTGGCATTTTGGCAGAGCTTTTCGACATCACCCTGGCTTAAGGTTTAAGAGAATTTTATCTCAAAATCTTTGCTTTTCCACAACCAAGACTAAAGTAACAACAAACAAGATAAATCACACATGAAAATCTTTAATTTCCATCTCACCTGCACAACCGAAGGCCAGATGATATCTGGAGGTTGGGCTGAATTTAACACAGCAGACGTTAGCCTTAGCCTCAATGCTAGCCACTGAATTGTCAAGATTAGTTGACCACAACTTGACTGAAGAAGAAGAAGAAAAGAGCATGCATAAAAAAAATAAAATAAGGGCTGATACATGGTGGGAACATTATTTTTAGATATTGCATCCCTCTCTTACCTTTAGCATCATCAGAACCTGAGGCTAAAAGCTTTGGGTCCATGAGATTGAAGTCTACACTCCAACACCTTTTTTCATGTTCCTGGGAAGGAAGCAGAGGAAACCTTAAAAAGCCATCATTACTAATGTAATGCCTAACGTAATGAAGCTGCGCTCCAAGCATCACACCTGGTAGACTTTGGACCTCTGGCCTGTGAATCCATCCCACAAAATAACAGTTCCCTCATAGTCACTGCTGGCCAGGAGGTTTTTGTGATAACTGCTCCAGCTGATACAGCTGCAAAAGACAACAGGAACTTGAAATATTCGAGTTTGGCGCTGCTTATTTCACTACAAACTAAGTTATCATTTCTTTTCATGAACTGTATGATTAGTTTTTTTACAGTCACAATTTTGGAAAAAAGCATCCTGTAGATTTTGGATCCATACACGTGACTCAACATGTGGATTACTAAGAGATCAGCATTAGAGGAAATGCATTTATCAGTTTCCTTCACCTGATTTTGGAATTGCAAGTCATTTCGTTGACAGGGTAGTGGATGTCCACTGCATCCTGGATCACAGTGCCGTACTCAAACACCTTGATCTTTTTGGTTACGCCAGCGATGGCAAAGTAGTCACAGTCTCGGTCAAACTCAATACTGAAACAAAGGAAAATACGGTCAAAGACAGTGACTGGGCTCATCACACACACGGTAAAATGTCACGAAACAACTAACAGATGATGTCCGGTCATACGTAAATCAAACGTTTCTTTTTTTTATACCTAGACACGATACTGGAGCCATTATAGAGGTCACTGGCGTATGACAGGGTGGCCAGCGGCCGCACAGAGTTATAGCGAGTGAACTTTGACAAACACTCCATGAAATCATCCAGCTGATTCAGGTTCCTGCCCTCATCTGAAAACAACATGCACACAGTTAACACAGCATTTGTGAATTATACACATTGTGGAAAAAAAACCAAATGGAGTCGTTGCCCATAACTAAGAGCTTAAACACAGATGCCCTGCTTTAAGAAATAATACCAGTTTTCCAACTGTGTGCAAATGAAAACGCCATAAAAATGATCTGACCACAGCAGTCTAAAGCCTCAACAACAGCACCTGTGATGCGGGACATTTTGCTGGAGAAGTAGCACTGCTCTAGATCCTCAAAATGAGCTGTGAGCCTCTTTCTTCTTGACGCCAGGGTGCTGTTGTACCAGGTCTGACGTTTTCCCTGAGGAAACAGTCCCAAGAGCAAAGTGAAGGCAGTGCCAGAAACCTCAGAGTGTATTTATAATTTTCCTCCAAATACATTTGTGTTAAAAAGCTACATCTAAACGTGACAGGCCCCCTTATTAAAACGCACCAGCCATTTCCAGCTCCAGATATTAAAGCTTTGCTGGATTTACAGTTATAACCCCAGTAAAATGATCTTTTACTGGGCCTTGGTGCAGCCCGTTACTTCATCCTGTCTGAAACAGTTTTTACTCCAAGCTAATTTGTTTTTTTTAAATAAATAAATCTCTCCGCTGTACCTGGGCTGCTCCACCAAATCCTGGAGGCTGGTTGTAGTCGGGTTGGTCTATAATACTACTGCAACTGCTCAACACAGAAACAAACACACAAGACGTGGAGTAAGTCACACCACACAGCGACTGCTGAAGCCTCTGGCATCTCGACTGTATGCACTGGCTTTGTTCCACACAGACAAAGCAGCCGTTGTAGAGCAAGAGGCAAAACGTTTTCGTGAGCAAGCACACATCTGTGCTCGTAACGAGCTCCTGTTTTGGTAAACGAACAAGGTGAATATGGTGTTATTATGTTCTGCATAGACACATTTATTATGCGGCAGACATCAGCATTACCTGGGTGCTGGAGAGGGAGCTTCCACATTAGGCACAGTACACTCAGCCTCCATCACAGGAGAGTACAGCCCACTCATTTCCTGGAAAATGACACCAACATAACTTGTTTGTCCATCTCAAGCTGTGATGATGAGGGTTTTGTGATTTCATAGCATAATATGTTTTTATAATCATGCATTCTGTTCCCCCGTATTTTCGCAAGAGAACATGTGAATGAGGGCACAGCAATCCATCTTTGGACTGCGCTTTGTCAGTTTACCTACCTCAACACGTTTGATGTCTTCTTCGAGGAAGTTGAGCTCTTTCTGCAGTTGCTCTAGTTGCTGCCAACAAAACCAAAAACACAACTGAACGCGCTTGCCTTTGTTAACACCTACAAACACTTAACGAGTTCTGGTGGACTGACACAAAGCTGGGTGTCAGCCATTACAAATACTGCTCTTTTCTCAGCACCGTGTCAGCTTTGTGTGGGAAATTTGTGCAGCGTACCTCTCTCTTGTTTCTCCTGGCTTCTTTAAGGAACTCCATGAGGATCTGTCTCTGAGCTGCCTGGGATTCCTAGTGGAGATATGGACAGCTTACATAATCAAGTATTACTTGAAATCACAGAATAGTTTTGCTGATCTGCTGAAAAGACACTCGAGATATCATTTGTTCTCAGTTCAACACTAGCTTTCATCCTCAGAAAAGCACAAAATAATAACAGTAGTTCTAAAGCTTGTGATTTATCATTTTAGTTGTACTTTCGTCTCTGGCTTTACTTCCATCCCAGCTACAGGAAATGAAAGCAGTGCTGTGCAGAACGGGGAAGGATCCTGTCATGAAAAGGTTCACACAAACAAACTACTCCGGCCAGTGAATGCAGCTTGTTTTGGTGAACATGCTGTCGTTCAACTAAATTCTCACCCGTGTTTCCACAACTGTGGACTAGCCCAAAGCTAATGTGTACATTTAACTTTAACTTGGCGTTAGCAACAAATTACCTGATCGACTCCTCCCCCTCCCAAAAAAAGCCCACAGTCACATTGAGCATTTCTTTTCCTTCTTTAAGTGCACTGCAAAAAAAAGACTCCACACTATGCAGCAGGTTGCACATCACACCTCAGCAGCCAACAATGCTCGACTGGCAGTCACACTGTCACTGTGTGTTTTAGTATATTATAAGCTGTGCTTTAATTTCAATTTTAACTTTGGCTCATCTTGTCACTGAAACAACACAAACAACAACTTCAGTGCCAGAATCTTTTTTTGCAGCGATTCCCTTACTTTGACTTTCAGCACGTTCTCCTTATTTTTAGCTTCTTATCAAAATGCAGTGTGGATGACTTAGTTCAATCATTTACTTTCTATAATTAAAAGAAAATGTGCTTAAATAAATATAAGTCTGTTAAAATCTTAGACTTTAACCAATGTTTTACCAAGCAACCCTGTTAAATATCTGTCATTTCACCAACCAACTATCTATCTATATTTTTGTAATATATCTATCTATATCTAGATATTAAAGTAAAGAAATGATACCATTTTCCAAAAAAACGTAAGCTGATACATCTGTGATAGAATATTTTAACAACTTTAAACACTTCAGGCTTCGAGTGTGAACATATCAGAATTGAGTTTTATATTCATTTGAATATTTAACCATTTTTGATCCAAACACTGTGGTAAACTCTTTCCTCTGGTTAACCTTCAATCGAACCATGAAAATGCTCAAGAACACCAAACCTAAGGGTCTCTGGCTGTTAGGCAAATACTTATGACAACTGTGTTCTTTGAAAGCATGTCATAGGTTTCAGATGGAGATAATAGCTGACTATTTCTATTCAATTCTACTTAATCTTCAATGAAAACCAAAGAGTAGCTCCAAAGCAAACATCTCAAGGACTGAAAAGCACCACCACACCCACACTGACTGATGCTGACATTTAAGACGGAGACTAAGATTCACTGACGATTAAATCTAACATGTTGATGTTTTTTGGATTATATTTAAGGTTTGGATAGCTGAGTAACAACAGTAAACACGAGAGGAATACTAACAAAACATCAAAAATACACAGTTAAGTGGCAGGGACCTAAATTTGACTGATATGAAATATCTACATGGAATCCAAAACTGGTAAATCAGAACTGATTAAATAAGAAGAATGACAGGCTAAACAAAAACAAGCCCAATCAGATATGAAATATGTCCAGAGGCAAATTATCACACACATGCTAACAATCAATCAGCAATGAGTGTATACAGAATAAGCAGCAAGGCAAAGGAAGACCATTAACTATATACAATATCACAGCTAACTATGGAGCCCTTATTTCTGAACTAGCTTGGACAGACACCAATTAGCTGAATTACTGGGCTAGCTCTTGTGTGAGTCTGTCTGCTTGTATGACAGTCAAACAGTGACACACGGCATGTGTTTGTGTGAAAAAGAAACAGAAAGACGAGCATGTGCTTGACAGCGAGAAAGCTCAAGGCGTCGTGTAGCGCCATCTGAAAATCTGAAAGACGTGTTTGTAGCATCCATACTTGCAATTCAAAGGCCCCCATTTCAAAACTGGTCTGGATTTTACATCTCATCATCAATGCAAGTCTTAGATAGCGCTGATGAAATCTAAGGATGTAAAGTCCTACTTCTCTTTTTATGTCACGTAAACTGACAAAACAAAACAAAAAAGGATGTGTGAAACTGCCCAGAAACCTTCTGACAAAAGCAACATCTTACCATTGCTACCAGTGCTATATACACATACAATGCCTGATTTATTATCAACATCTGAAGTCTAACGCAACCCAAAAGAACTTCTTTGTGCCAGGAAGTCTGACAGAGTGACGCATTTAATGTGATGGACATCCTGCTGTATTGGAGCGCTTTGAGGGGTCCAGAAAAGCGCTATATAAATGCAATCCATTATTATTATTATTATTAATATTAAATGTTTGTCACATTCTGTAAGAGGGAACACCTCAATAGTGCGGTCTGATACAATGATGACCTCGACAGCAAACACATTATTGTGTCATCAGAAACTCAGAATATTACACAACTTCTGTTTGTTTCAGATTAAACGGATCAGAACCCACTGCCTCCAAAACAACAAGGTCTTAACTGGACGTCATAAATTTCATTTGTTGTCTTTCCAGAACAAAAAGTGGACATTCAGTGGATATTAAAACATTTCCATTATGTTTTATATTACTGATTGTTTTCCACTGTGACAACCTTGTGATAACATTTAAAGAATAAATTTAGAAAACTTGTAAAAGGATTAACAAGCTATCAGCAAAACATCACTTTGACTTTTAATTGAAATAATTATCCATCCATTTTCTTCCACTTATCCGGGGCCGGGTCGCGGGGGCAGCAGCCTAAGCAGAGAAGCCCCGACCTCCCTCTCCCCAGCCACCTCCTCCAGCTTGTCCATGGCAACACCAAGGTGTTCCCAGGCCAGAGAGATATAATCTCTCCAGCGTGTCCTGGGTCTGCCCCGGGGACTCCTCCTGGTGGGACATGCCCGGAAAACCTCGCCCAGGAGGCATCCTTGTCAGATGCCCGAACCTCCTCAACTGGCTCCTTTCGATGTGGAGCAGCAGCAGCAGCTCTACTCTGAGCCCCTCCCGAATGGCCGAACCTCTCACCCTATCTCTAAGGGAGGCCAGCCGCCCTTCGGAGGAAGCCCATTTCTGCCGCTTGTTCTTTCGGTCACTACCCACAGCTCGTGGCCATAGGTGAGCGTAGGGACGTAGATCAACCGTAGATCAACCGGTAAATTGAGAGCTTCGCTTTTACACTGAGCTCTCTCTTCACCACAACAGACCAGTACAGTGCTGAAATAATTAACCCTTTGTAATTCTGTCTCTTCACTGCATCTTGTGCATTTTTCACTGAAACCTACAAGATCTATATCTACAAGCTCTGATCATGTGATCAGTTTCATGACTTAATAGCCATTAATTATGAACCTCCTCGGTTTGCACGGATTGCATTAACAAACTTTACATCATTTTAAAGAAAAAAAACCCTTCACTGAAACCCATGAAAAGCTAAAGAGCTAAAAGAGTGAAACAAAAACAAAGAAATGCACAGATCAGCCTCTCACTTACCGCTTCCAGCTGCTTCTTCTTCTGAAGCAGCAGCTCGAGCATCAGGTTGACATTTGCCAGGTCCAAGTTCTCCTGATCAGGACTCAAAACATCCTGGAAGACCTGCCACCGAGACCCATTCTGAAGGTCAGAGACACTGATCAGTTACAAGTAACAAAACATATTTTTAAGATGCTTGACATCTTAACAAGGAGAGAAAGAAATGAAATCAGTTTCAGAACATGCTGTACTCACTGGATGATCTAACTTTAGCCTCTTCTCTTCTGACCTCTGTTTTTGTTTAAGGATCAGTTCATTTACTGGGATGTGGTGAGGCGGGACAGAGGAAGTTGTAGACAAGGGATAAATAAGAGAGGAGAACCGGTGGAGTAAGTATATGACAAAGAAAAAGACATTGTCACAGCTAAGGAACAACACATTTTACTTGTGATGAATAAAAGAAAAGTGGCAGCGACATCTAGGGCTGGGCCATATTATACCGTTCACGGTAATACCGGTATAATGTTAGGCAACGATAGGAAAATGAAATATCGCAATAGAATATGAGTAAAACGCGCATGCGCAGTGCCTTTGTTTTCATACGCACATGGCCGATTGTTGAGTGAAACAGATGAACCAGAATTGGTTTGTAAAAATGGTGCAACTTCAGTGATGTGGAACTGGTTTGGTGTTTGTCCGTCAGATACACGACCAAGCACATTTTTTTGCAGAACATGCAAGCGGCCGTCGTTATTGTCGTATTTGTCGGACTAAGATGCTCTTAAAGCTGGGAGTAATCTGGGTCCTAAACTCCGTCTTTTTCAGGTCAAACAACACTGCAGCATCACTGAGAGTAGGGCTGCCACGATTAGTCGACTAGTCACGATTACGTCGACTATCAAAATCGTCGACGGCTGATTTAATAGTCGACGCATCGTTTGAAGCTTTGTAAGATCACAAAAGACGCAGGAATAAGTAGCAGGATTTAAGAGTGTAATAACGGACTGAAACAGAAGATGGCAGCACTGCATGTACAAGGATGCCAGCTGTCACTACCCGATCCGTACCGGAAACCCGATCGGTACCCCGCATGCGCAAATCTTACGTCACTTCCTCTCTTTGCCAACATTGCGACATTCAATATATTTGAATGATACCGTTAGCGCTAGGGCTGCCACGATTAGTCGACTAGTCACGATTATGTCGACTATTAAAATCGTCGACGACTAATTTAATAGTCGACGCGTCGTTTGAAGCTTTGTAAGATCACAAAGGACGCAGGAATAAGTAGTAGGATTTAAGAGTGTAATAACGGACTGAAACAGAAGATGGCAGCACTGCATGTACAAGGATGTCAGCTGCCGTTAAACCCCGAAGAAGAAGAAGCTGTGTCCCAGAATTCATAGCGCAGTTGTCAACAATGGCGGCAGCTAGTTAGTTTTAACTTTACTCTTATTATTCTTTCTGGGTCACAAAATAAACGTTTCACATATTTTCAGGCGAGAATGTAGCTGTGTAAACCTCAAATATCGGCTCAGTTTATCAAGACACCACATATTTTCAAAAGCGCTCCGACGTTTTCGGAGACGTCTGTTACCCACTAGCTCGTTAGCTAGGCGGGGGCAAGGCTAACTAGAGCCGTGAGAACACCGGACTCCCGGCAAATCGTTTTCAAACCCACCGCCGTCTTTCGCTAGTCAGGTTAAACATATATATAAGTCACTTAGATAACTTAAATGTTATTGTTTGGCTTTTTTCAGTATTTTATTTGTTCCTGAGTAAATCGGTTTGGCTGAGATTAAAGTTATAGTTTTTACACAGCTGAATAAACGTCAAGCAGACAGCTGATTATCAGAAGTGTGAGATGCTTGAGAATTTACTCCGGTGTCCTGTTAGATTTTAGATAGCAAGGAGTTTATTAAACTTCACCGAAACAATCTGCAAATTTCATTAAAATGTAATAAACTATCATCTTGTCTTTATTGTTAGTTAGCACATACCTGAAACACTTAAAGCTGTAAGCTAATGATAGTTATATAAGAGCAGATGCTGCTGGTGCAATAAGCTGTACGTTTTACGTCCAATGGATGATGATCTGATTAGTCGACTAATCGCAAAAATAATCGGTGACTAGTCGACTATCAAAATAATCGTTTGTGGCAGCCCTAACTGAGAGTTAAAAACTGTAAATTCTTTCATCTTTAATAAAACGATCAGCATTGCTGCTTTACCAGGTGTAACTATGAAGTTTAACTTCCAGGCACAGCCCGAAGAGGAGACATGGGCCCATCCTCCCGCAGGCCCACCACCCGCAGGAGGCGCCATAGGGGTCGGGTGCATTGTGTGCCGGGTGGCGGCCAGGAGCGGAGGCCCTGGCGGACTGACCCCCGGCTGCCAAGACTGGCAATAGGGACATTAATGAATCAATGGTACAGAAGTGGAGGAAGCAAGAATGAGTTTAATAAAGTTTGATTTATCTGACTGCTTTGTTTCGCTTAATGTGCCTTATAATCCCGTGCACCTTATGGTCCGAAAAATGCGTACTGCACACTGCAGTTTAATGTGGAAGGTTGTCTTTTTGCGCTAGTAATGTTGTGGAGTTGTATTTTGTCTCGCATCAATTATATCGTCAGTTACATCGTTATCGCAAATTTTCAAATATATATCGTGATAAATATTTTTGGCCATATCGCCCTGCTCTAGCGACATCTTTATCATCATGCATTTAAATACCTACACAAAGTGTTTCCTTAGATTTTTGTTTGGCCCATTTATGACAAAAAACTTTCAATTTTGACTTCATTCAAATACAAAAGTCTCATTTTAGTACTGATTATGAGCTAAAGACAAATCAATTCAAATATTGTGATTTTAAAAACCATGAAGTGCAAAATTGCCATAACAGCTACATTTTAATGTCCAAGTTAAAATGAAAAGCTCTGAGAAAAATGATTCGTTTAGGAGCTGATCATCTGACTGTTAGAAAAAACCAAAACATAACAAAACAAAAAACCCCTCCAATTCAAAATACCCACCAAGAAAGTTTGGGTAGACCTGATCCACATTATCGATAATATAGTTACACTTGGGACATCTGTTGCTGTCCTCCAGACTCTGGCGGATACACTTGAAACTGCAGGATGGAGAGAGAACAGATAAATATTATGGATATATCCAGCTCCACATTTCAATCCAAGATCTTACAAGATTAGCTTTAAATGATTCATAGTCAAAATAATCTTTATTCATCCCATACTGGGTCTTCTTTTGATTATATGTGACCTTCAAAAACAGGTTTGATCAAAGCCAGTGCTCTGATCCTGTTAAGGATATCTGCTCACACCGACATCACCAGAGAGTAGACAAACTATCTCAAACTGAGGCATAACTTGCTAATGCGCTGATCTTATTACTTGGATCTTTGGTCATGTTTATTATGAGCATTGAAAAACAAGAAATGAGAATTACTGAAAGCAAACACAACAGGCATAAAGAACACTGAGCCAACTGTGGATTACCAGTAATCACGTTAAGCTTTCCCATAACTTTGCTGAAGAGTCTACAGGCTTATATTCAGCTTTAAACCATTTACTGTCATTAAAAACTTGTTCATATTTTTGCTGTTTGGGGTTTTTTGTTTTTAGATTACTACAACCAGCTTTGCAGTTCAATACTGACAGTCACACTGTCACTGTGTTTTAGTATATTATAGAGCTGCGCTTTAAATTCAATTTTGGCTCATCTTGTCATTGAAACAACATAACCGAGATGAAATTACCTCTGTGCCAGAATCTGTTGTGCAGTAATTCCCTTACTTTGACTTTCAGCACACAACCTTTTCCTTTTTGCTTCTTATCAAAATGCAGTGTGGATGACTTAGTTCAATCATTTACTTTCTATAATTAAAAGAAAATGTGCTTAAATAAAATATAAGTCTCTTCTATTTTAGACTAAATTAAATATCCGTCATTTCATTATCGATCAAAATAACTAGGATTTTTGCCAAAAAAATAACACTATTTCCAGTAGATTTTACTGATTCTGGTGGCAAAAAGCCATTGTGCTTACTTTTTTGACGTTAGCCTAATGAATCCTGATTAATTGTCTGTGCAAAACAAACAGAAAGCCTTTACAGGCTTTCCACATTAGTGAAAAGTTGAATTCAGGGTTCATTTTCGCCTTGAATACAAAACAATATTGGTGGCCTCCTCTAAAGGAAAATTACCAGGATTATAAATTAGTTGGACATGTTTTAACCCTGAGCTTGCTTTTACTTATTGAACTCCCAAACTAAAACGCAGAAATGTACACCAAACAGACTCACTGCTTTAACCAATCTTGCCTTTGCAAGATTTCGAGTCAGAAAAACTCTTGGGCTGACCAGAGCAGAAGTGAGGCTTGCCTGGTGTGCAGAACTTGGATTGTCATGGGTTTGATGTTGCTATCAAAATATAGCAACACTGATGTGACGGACAGGACTACTTGGAACTTCCTCTAGAAGCCCATCTGTAACATTAAAACATGCCCAAACAATAAAACAAAATTCAAGAACAAAAATACTAAAAAATAAATAAATAAATAAAAAACCGTCATAAGTTTTTTTAAGTAATCAGCTGTAAGTATGGATGGCCGCAGAGTGCATGGCTTTTGTTAAAGAGAACTTCGTTCCTTCAGTCTGTGACATTTGTTGCTCTACAGCATTTGGGACACTGTCGAATACTTTGCTGTGCGTAACTCTCTCTGCAACACAAACACTCACCAAAAACTGTGCCCGCACTTCGTCATGTGTGCCTCGTCTATCATTTCGAAGCAAATGGGACTGAAAAACAAGCAGAAGCCCGGGTCATCGTGCAGCTCTCAAACTTTTACGGAACTCACCCCAAAGCTCGAGTGCAATACAAAACTAACCAGACGAAGTCGTTGCTTTTATCTTCGTATGAATTCAAGAGACCGTTGTACAGTGGTGCCTGATGCAGGGATCTCTTTCTGTTACCAGAGGACGCAGACGGTCTGCTGAGAGAAGCTAAGCCGCCCCGGGCTGACGGCACGGCGGCCAGAGTTGGCACTGACAGGCCGCCCTCTCCGGCCGCTGCAAGGGTCCGTGAGGGCACAACGTTTCCAGAAGTGCTCCCATTACTTGTGGGAGCGCTGCTGCCACCGCCACCGTTTGTATTCCCAGTGCCTCCTGTACTACTGCTGCTGCTGCTACTTGTGCTGGGCACTGAACTCGCCCCAGCAGCGCTTTGCTGTGGCCGGTTGCTTGACATCATACAAGGCCGACTAGAAACTCCCCAAATCCGCTGCGTTGCTATTCAAAGCATCCGGAAAGAGCAGCTATTTGGCTACTTTAGCAGATTTGCTAGCTAGCTGGTTTGCTTATGTGCTAACATCCTGGGAGAAATACAAGAATGGCCAAACATCCAGCGGAGAGAAAAAAAGGTTGGCCGTCGTTGTCTGGTTCAACGTTTGTCACTAGCAGCGAATTCCAAGAGCGCTGGAATCTAAAGAGAAAAACAGACACGAACACTGTAACGGCCAACAAAATAAGAACGGCTGCACTGTTCAGAAGATTATCCGGCTAGCTACTGTTAGCAACAGAGAGAAATCTCTTGAGTTTCCTCGATTACTCCGGTAGCCGCAAAACTTCTTGTTTTAAATTATCGCCCCCTAGCGAGAAGGAGTTAAACCGCGCTGGTGGAAATGTACAATTCAGGGAATTATCGACTCAGGAAAAAAAGAGCACAGCTTTTAATTTGGCTTTCAGTATACCAATCCTAGTCTCTATAACTGTTTTAATGCTTACATCATTTGTACGTTTAAGTAGTATCATAAAGGATATAGTCCTATGACCCATGCCATGAAAAACAGACATTAATGTTTATTGGAGGGCAATGTAGCAGTGCTGAATTAAATACTATCCTCGTATTTAACACAGGGACTTTTCTCAGTGTTAATAACAACACTGGGAAAAGGAGTTTGTTTATTTCACTTCATGCTATGTTATGTTACTCTGTAAAATACTTTTTGCGATGTGATTATATTATTATTATTATTATTATTATTATTATTACTACATGTTCTGTACTACATTGTAAAGCCTACTTATAGTAATTCAACAGAAAAAAATGTCTTTGGTTATGGACTTTTAAACATGTGTGCTGTTTTATTTCCTTGTTTTCTTTCTATTTTTGTAACCCCTTTAAACAGTGTGTGTGAAACACAGTTATCTCGGCTGAAGCTAGAATTACTAGCTTTTTTATAACTTCCCGCCATACTGGCTTTTGCTGCTATCCAAAGCTCAAATCACACAAGGAGGTTGTGAGATAATGTCCACGGAAGCTTTGAAGAAAATTAGATGAACAGGTGGACATGTTTACAGAGATTCATTGATTTATTGGAGAAATATAATAAGATGACAATGTCCAGTTCATAAACTCAACTAACAACATGTAGCCATGAAAGTCAGTGGGGCAGCTAGTTAACACACAAACAACAAAAGAACATCAGGCAGGGACACATATTGCATGTATGCATTTTTGTCATCATCTTCTAGATTCAAGATTAAAGACCCTTTTTTTGTTTTTTATTATGATATTTAATGACACAAATCTTGAAAATATATATACTATAAGACTGGGATTTAAAAATATCGCACACTTGGACTGAACAGGCTATGTGTATCTATAAGTAATCTGTATACCTGAGGGATGTAATAGTGTGGAGTGGTAGAAAAGTGTACTTTACAAACAGCTTCCACAGCATGTCTTTATCCTGTCTTCCTTCTCTCACCCCAACCAATCACAGCAGATGGCCCCGCCCCTCCCTGAGCCTGGTTCTGCTGGAGGTTTCTTCCTGTTAAAAGGGAGTTTTTCCTTCCCACTGTCACCAAAGTGCTTCCTCATAGGGTGTCGTATGATTGTTGGGGTTTTCTCTGTATGTATACTTTAAAGTCTACCTTACACTCTAAAGCGCCTTGAGGCGACTGTTGTTGTAATTTGGCGCTGTATAAATGAAATTTAGAATTGAAAAAGATTTTTACTTTTTTTTTTCTAAAATGTATGCAGATGTTAGCTTCCCTCAGAGGACTCTGACATTTTCAGTGCAAAAATCCAGTTGAAATGATGAACACATCTAAAAATGTTGCCACATATAAAAATCCATAACAAGAGGACCAAATGAAGAGTTTTGTGTAATCAGCTACTGAATAAAAGTCGGTAACTGTGATAGAACACAGATTCGGTTGTTTAATACATGAATACTGCCTCAGAATTCACTTTTAAGTTAAGAGGTAAGTACATCTCAAGAATCAGAGGTGTATCTGCGGCACCACAGATGTCTCTATTTAAGAAATACCTCCAAATATTACAGAGATTTCTGTCCACCACACAAATGCACGGTGGCTCCCGTGCTTGTCATTCTTTCCAGATTGCCTTTTTACATTAAAAAAAAATAAAAAATCAAGCAGGTAGGTCACATCCACAAAGTGCAGCTAGGGGCCGAGCCAACACAAACAGCATCGTGTCATTCAGGCATCCACCTGCAGCTTTGCAAATAGAACCCGAGGAGCACTAACATATTCACGCTCACAGTTTGTCCAGCCTGCTACTTGATTTTTCCATTTTTACCTCCATGTGGGCAAATAAGGGGTCCTCCACGTAGGCACGCACGACATTGGATTTTCCCATGTTTTTGTTTGCGGAAAGAAGTTTATATGTTTCATTATGGAGCCCAGTTAGGATGGAGAGTACGTTTTTTTCAGCTAGAGGAAAGTTACTGAGTACGTCGAAGAGCAAATGAGTTTCTCTGAGAGGGGACCACCATGTTAAAGGGGCTTCCTCTGTGCTGCATGCAGGCGGTGAATCATGCTGAGTTTAGAAGAAGCCAATGGAAAGTCACTGTGTTAATATCAGTAGTGATGCAGTTTTCACAAAAGCTCCAAAAAGAGGAAACTTTTTTCATATTTCAACAAGGCTTTAGAGATCAGTAGAAAATATAATTTGAAAGAAAAAAAAGGGCAATTAACGAGGCGACCGTGGCTCAGGGGGTTGGGAAGCGTATCCGTATAACCGGAAAGTCGGCGGTTCGATCCCCTCTCTGTCCTGGTCTTGTGTCCTTGGGTAAGACACTTTACCCTACTGGTGTTGGCCAGAGGGGCCGATGGCGCGATATGGCAGCCTCGCTTCTGTCAGTCTGCCCCAGGGCAGCTGTAGCTGCCTCCACCAGTGTGAGAGTGAATGAATAGTGGCATTGTAAAGCGCTTTGGGTACCTTGAAAAGTGCTATATAAATCCAATCCATTACTATTATTATTAATGAAAGTGTGAAGCTTCCAAGCAATGAAGCAAATGTTGCCCAAATGTCGCAGCTATTGATTTGAACACCCTCACTGCTGAATCCTGAATCCTTGGAGTGAAACACCTGCAGCACTGTCCACACACCATGCTTCATGTGTCTTCCCCCTCGGCCCATCTCCCTGCCCCACTTCTATTTCACACCAGTGGTGGTGAAAAGCACTCTTTTCTTCATTCTTCCCCCTTCTCATTTGTCCTCCGCATCAGCCTGGATTTTCTCCCATTGGGCCCCCTCCCTCTTCCTTTTTCTTTTTTTTTTTTGCATGAGGATCCAGGTTGTGTGTGTGTGCATGTGTAGAAAAGAGAGCACAAGGGGAAGGGGACATGGAGCTGGCCTCGGGGTCGGTGGGGTCAAGACGGACAAGCTGAGATGAAGGATAATCGGTGGAGGTCCCTTACAGTGGGGGGTGAGGCCCCGGAGGAGCACCCCCTTTCAGACGCTCTACCAGACACCCCACTCCCTTCTATGGCTCTCTTCCTCTCTTTCTCTTCTGCCTCTTCTCCTCCATCCTCTGTTTTTGTTGGAAATTTAAAGACCCCCTCCCCCCCTCCTCCTCTGATTTCTCTTGTCCCCCTCTTCCTCCAAATGCAGTTGCAGCTGGATTTCAAAGGGCACTTCTGCAGCAGAGAAAGCTGAATGTTTAGCAGGCTGCGTTTGTGGAATTCCTGCCTCCCACTCTTTAGGACCGTTTTTTGCCCCTTCAGGGGCCCCTGCCATAACTGCCGGTGGCCTCCCCCTCCTCCTCCATTTCCATCTCCAACCTTGAGCCAGGGCCCTGTTGGCAAATTGAGCCTCACAAAAAAGTAAAATAGTAAAATAGAAGGTGTGGAACAACAAAAAAAGTGGACTACAGGAGGCCTTTTTTTGTGGATTTATTATTAAAGATTTAATTTCTACTTAAAAGATAAATAATGACTTATTCATAAAAAACACAATGTGCAGTTTCAAGACTTTAAACTCATCTGGGGAAATATCACTTCTTAGTGATTTTTAAGGATCAGTATAGATTTTGTTTGCAGCTTCTGGAAACATTTCAGTGAGGACACCTGTCTTTTGACTTAGACGGCCTGCACAAGATGCCAAAATCTATCTTCCCATTTGCAAGGTATTCATCATGGCTTGAGATATTCATCAATGTACGATAAGCTTCAGAGCTGGCGCGGAAACAACAAAGAATTTAAGGAGACCTGCAACACTTTAAATGCATGTTTTCTGTTTTTTTGCTTTCGAATGCAAAAGTAGTAGCATTACTGAGTTTCTGCCCGAAACACGCTTACATGCACAAGCTCTAAAGGCAGGGAAAAAACAAACAGGGTGAATATTGAGGTTGAAAGAAAATGAGTTGACCATTAAAGGGGCCTTTCATTTGCTTTTGTGAGAGACTTCAACCACAGCCCTTCCTTCCTCCAGAGGACAGACTGCTCCTGATAATGGAAATTACAAAAAAAAAAAAACAATCTGCTGGACCTTCAGTAATATTTTGTCATTTTTGCATAAAAAACAGTATCAAAAGATAGTAAAATGTATTTTTTTTGGCTGTTGTAACACTTCACTATGCAAGTATATGTCTGCATGTATGCAGATGCACACAGCTTTTCATAGAATCTGTTCACTGGGCACCTACAAACGGACAAATCTGTGTGCATTGCATTATTTCGCCATCATCCACCTTGGTTTAATTTCTTCCTCTCTGCCTAACCCCCTTTTTTCAGCCTTGGCCCACACGAGCACAAGAGTTCAGCACAAAGCAGGTAGCATATTTGGATGGTAAAAAAAAGACCAAAAAAAACAACCTTTTTCACGTGCAGGACAGATGTTGTGCCTGTCTGTGCTGCACCAGTGAAGAGAGCCAGAGTGTGAGTGTGTGAGTGAGACTGCAGGAGGGAGGGAGGGAGGGACGGCGGGAGAGAAGAAGGAAAAGGAAGAGAGAAGGTTACTCAAACTTTACCCATTTCATTTAGGGGTAATGCATGTGTGTGAGAGAGAGAGGGGAAAAGAAAGAGAGTGAGGGAGGGTCATAGGGAGAAAACACTTCTCCTCCCCCATCCCAGCCACCATCATTCATCCTTTGCCAGGTTAGAGAGTCCCATTAAGAAGACATGGACAACAAAACCTATACTGTAGCTTATGCTGCGATTGTTTTCTACTCAATCTGACACCAGTTTACACAGTAATCCACTGTGTGACTTATGAATATCATAATGTAAATATACATTATGTAATATTATAGCATAAGATAGTATAATATAACGTATTAAAACTTGCAAGTTGCGCTTGTGCACTTGCCCACGCACAAGTGCACTTTTTTCCTGGACCATTCTCCACATTACCAGATGCACAAATGTTTCAAGATAGAGAAGGACGTCAGACCTCACTTTAAGCTCCCTTTAACTCTCTGAGTTCAAAGCCGTCATCGGTGATGACCCCCGTTTCCAACCCCTACCAATGACTATAACACTAACCCC